GATGTAATATCCTTGGAGGAAGGCTCCCTTGGGGCCAGGAGTATAAAGGGTGCACAGACCCTGGTCAATTTGGGCATATCCCGCGATTAACCTCCACCCATCACTGAGGGGCCGGGGATGGGTGGTCCAGGACATAGTCTAGTGTAAGTTAGGATACCTGGATATCAAAAAAAAAAAAAATTGATAAAAATTCAAGTCACGGTCAATAATTAACTTTAATCATACAATTAATGAGACCGCTAACTTTTCAATCACATATTTCATTAATTTTTATTTAAATCTACTAAAAATCTGATTTTCAACAGAAATATACAGGAGTTTAGGAGGAATATGTTTTTACCATCTTCACTACCCATATATTTATGTGAGTTTCACTTAGTATTGATATATGATAATGCATCAAGAATGCTCACACACACACTTGTAATAATTAGAGAAATATTACGTAATTTTTTCAGACTAGACCCTTTAAGTTGATATTATTATATTTAGCCGAGAAAAAAAATTCCTAGATGGTACCCATCGAAATTTATGTTTGTTTCTCTATTTTATTTTATATTTTTACTTGCACTCCCTCTCCCCTCTATCCCCCCTCGCACACATGCACCCTTCACCGAGGCACAACTCTTTAATTCATGCTTATGAAAAATTGTTATTAGTCGTGAATAAAATGACCAAACCAAACTAGACCAAATTAGAACCAACCAAAAAAAAATAAAAATGAATGGTTCTGATTTTTAGAACTGAGAACCATTTGATTATGTCACAAAAAAATTTCAAAATTCAATTGAAAATCAAGACTAAAAAGTCACGTGCTTTCGACTTCTCATTTCTCAATGTGGGGATTGGAGACCCAGACCCTAATTCGCTTCTCATTTCTCAATGAACCTTCGTCGCGTGTATTTCTGAAATTGAAGCTTGAACCTTCGATTCTTCTTCCTCAAATGTTATTTTTTTTTCTTTTTTTTCTCAATCAGTAATGAAACTAGAACCAAATCAAACAAAACTAGACCAAAATCGAATTATTCGGTTCCTATTTGGTTCCATATCTTAAAAAAAATTATTTGGTTCCATTATAAAAAAAACAAACAAACAAAATCATTGGCTCATGGTTTGGTTCGGTTCTCTTGAAATCAGAACTAAATGAAACTATGTCCACCCCTAATTGTTATTAAATTTTTAGCTATTTTTTGGCATTCAATCTCCGAAATATGTAGTTATTCATGTTCAATTTTTCATAGTTTTGTAGATATGAGCTTTGTTTAAATTTGTCTCTTTTAATTGAACTGGATTTCCGATTTTCTCAAAAATTAGCGGAAAAAAAAAATTAAATTCACTAAACCAAGAAATATGACTAACTTAAATTCAAACTACGGAAAGAAAATAAAATATTAATCTATTTTTCTTAAAATAAGATCGCATCGCAATTTCGATATATTTTGCTGCCAATGTCGTCATATATTTTCAATCAATTCGATCCAGTTTTGTGTGCACAGCACAGGTCAACTAGGAATGCCAGGAAAATTTAGGTGTTATTCGATGTTTAATTTAGGTGATGAAGGCGCGATATATTATCGTTAGCTTCTATTTTCTGGATTGCTCAATGATCAACCCGTGGAGGTAAGGTTGTAAATTCCTTGTAAGAGTATGTTTGAGACACATTCTTTTGAAAGAATGTATTATTGAATAGTAGATTGATGTAAAATGTGTGGTTAAAAATGAAGTTTTCATTAAATTTGATATAAACGAGGTATAGATAAGAATATTACTTTCAGAGTGTGTTTGGGACACATTCTTTTGAAAGAATGTATTATTGAATAGTAGATTGATGGAGAATGTGTGGTTAAAAATGAAGGAAAAATTATTAATGTGATGTAAAATATTATTTTATTGAAAAATGTGCGGTTGAAAATGAGTAGAAGAATGAGAATGAAAAAAATAATGTGTACCAAACATGGCCTAAGTTTAAAAAATTAATATATACATACGTATGTCTGGTCACTAGCAAAATTTTCAACTTACGTGAAAATTCTTGCTCCTTTACTTGCGCTAAATTATGACATAATTTCACATGAAATATCTTATTATATTAAGGTTAAAATAGTAACTTCATGCCAACATGGAGACTGGTGTAGAGCTGCAGTTTCGCATAACATGCATTCAACGTGCATCACCCATTGCAATTATCGAAAGTCAACCTCAAAAGTCGTCATTGACAAAGTCAAACTTAAAAAGCCGAGCAACCAAATCTAATGAAATGGTGAATAATATATTTCAGTTCTTCAACAGTCAGTACATTCTTATGATCATAAAAATAGTTAAACGAAGTTTCCAAGAAACTCCTTTTGGTCCTCCCTTTCTTCTTACAAACTTTGCTCAGATTCTTTATTTTCAAATCCCAATCAGTTATACTTGAGGATTTGAATACAAGCATAAATCAACTAACATTTAGACATAACGACCGTAGAGAAAAATTAAAATTTTATGCATTGTATTGTATTGTCTAGTATTACGTTCTAAACGTGCTCGTAGAGAAAAAATATTATATCTCATTCCCTGCAAAATGTTTTACCGTGAATCCAACTTTCTCAAACTTCCCTTTCTCACTGCTCTCTCTAAATCTCAAATAATCCAAACAAATGAAGGGCTTATACAACCTCGATTCTCCTTCATCCACGACTTCTTTTGGAGCAAAAATCACCTTTTCATCTTCAAAACACCAAAAGAAAGCAATGGAAAATCGATTAGCATGTCGTCGTAGAACTACTCTGTGCTCAGATGACCTAAACTTCCCATTGCTCCATGCTTGCATTAAGTCACCGATGTTAACGACAAGTGCGTCTTCGCACGGATTAATGTCCATCCATTTACCTTCCTTAGACCTCACTTGGAGGCCACCATTTTCATCTTGATAAACTAGGGTTATGCAACTCATGTCAGTATGCATTCCAAGCCCTTCAACTTCTTGTTCTTGTATGCATTCAGGTGGGGAGTAATTGTTTAGTCTTAGATAGCCATGACAATTCTTGAACTCAGATATGAATTTCATCTCTAAATTAGGCCCCAAACACATAAGAATCATCTCCAGGATTGATTTTGATAAGTGTACCATTCTGCTTCCATACTCTTTTAGTATTTCACTGATGAAAAAGCAAGAGGAAGAAAAGAAACACAATAATCAAAGACGGGAAGGTACCTATAAACACGAAAAGTTTTGGGCTTATGCATTTCAACAAAAACTATCTATGATCAGATAATTTTAATATTGACTCACGAACCAACTCATCTAAAAGCCTAAGTAATTATAGAGGAAAAAAATTTATTCATTTATTGTTATAATGTTTTAGCTTAAACACGCTCCTTCACACACATGTCAATTTAATTTCATCGAAGGTCTAGCATGTAAAATACTCGTATATAATAATGGCAATGAGACTTGAACTTTTAATGAGGAGGATTTATTCATTTATATTTTCTCATTAAAAATTCTAAAAATATCATCCTTATTAGTGTATATACATTCTATCACCCTTATAGTAATTTTGGAGGCAATTCAAATTTCTATATCAGTCTATACACTGTTTTACTCTCAGATGCTATTTCTAATGATACTTGATAAATAGTTCAGGACTCCTCAGACCAATCATAAAAGTACAATACTATTTCTTTAATATTTTATCTGTATTTCTCACCTGAAATCATCATCAGAGAGGTTGAGGAGGACTTCAGAAGAACTCTTTGCAGAAGCAAAGAAATCCGGTCCTGACACGCGTAAACTCTCGAAGAAAGGCGAGGCAATAAACTGTGGAGTATAAGTTTTTATGGTTGATGAAGGACCTGCTTTAAGTTTAACCTGTGGAGGAAGACTGAAAATATGACTTGAAAGTAAGAAGATTTTTTCATAAAGATCTTTCGAAATTCCATGGTTGGTTATGTGAAAGAAACCCCACTCTCTACAGGCTATAGAGAGAGCTGAGAGAGAAGATGGTGTCCAGGGCTGTGAAATGTCAAAAACAGGGAGATCTAAGGGAGATTCAGACATTATGTGAGAAATTAAGATAGTTTGTTTCTGTTGGAGCTTTAAATCGAAACCAAAATAAGGAATATTAATAGAGAGACAGACAGGTACTCTTGATGAAAAGGACAAAATAGATGTGAATACCATTAATCCTGCAATGCTGAGACTAATCACAGGTCAAGAAAATGTGGAAACGCATCATCTAAAAGCTTAAGTAGTTAGAGATGAGATAAATATATTTGTTTTAAGTTCTGACTTTGCACGCTCTTTCGAGTGTAGACAAAATTCTGTTTTCATCAGAGGACTAATAAGTGGAATTTTCATAAATGGACAGTGCCTATCTGTGAACTCGAGACCTCTGAGTGCATTCATATAATATTGAACCTAGCTCATCTAGAAGCTCGAACCGTTAGAGAAGAGACTATTTATAAATTTATTTAAGTTCAATTTAGCTTCAACTGAAAAGGGCCTATAGCAAAAATTATTTGGGAAACAACCTTTAAACTACATAAAAAATAGCTGATTTGCATGCCTATACAAAGAAGGTTTGACATTGCAGTTGGGCTTTCACACAAGTTTTCATCTAAAAACTTAAGCCCCGAACGGGGACCTGCAGAATAAATTCAGTTTTCACCAAAAGACCTACGCAGATAATCTTCACAAATGAGTGGCTGCCTGTTCAAATGTCATATTAAACAACTTTATCTAACACCTTAAACTATTAGAGAAGAAACAGGTTTTTTCATTTAAAATTTGTCAAAGGGGCTGCTGCATAAATTATTTGGAAATTACAGCCTTTAAATGCATGCATAAGACATGATTTACATGCCAATAAAGTCTTTGTCTAAGACAGAACTCAATAATCTAATGGTTTGACATTGTAGTTTTGATTATTCACAGAATATTTTATCCGAAGAAGTGGAACTCAGTATAATGAACAGATGGGCAGCAGCAGGCAGGAATAATCTAATGGTTTGACATTGTAGTTTGGTTTATTCACAGAATATTTTATCCGAAGAAGAGGAACTCAGTATAATGAACAGATGGGCAGCAGCAGGCAAGAATAATGGAGCTTTGCTGGTAATTATGCTTTGTCAAATCTATTATGCCTATGCCCTTGAGTTTAGATTCTTTGATTTGAAGTTTTCTTTACAGAGGTGGAATCTTTTCCTATTTGACCCGAAACATCTAATTATGAAAGGCTCTTGACTTTGTAGAATATTGTTGCCTTCTGTTGGATGGGTATGCTATCTTTCTTAAACTCGAGACAAAAACTCAAAGTTACTCCAGCAAAGAGGGCAGTTTTCCCCCCAAAACAATAATGGCAATGCATTGGATTGAACCTAAGAGATAAATTTTACATTGAATAATTACAAAAAAGGAAAGAGAAAGAAAAAGGAAAAAGAGAGAAAAAAAAATAGACAAATTTGTAAGAGATTTCGCTACTCCTCTTAATAATATTGACTTATTAAGATGAATCTTCAAGTCTTTAATATGGTATCAAAGCTCATTACATTAAGCTCAAACGAGCAATTTGATCCGATTAAAACTAAAAAAATAACATATGGGTTTCAAAATCACCATTCAAAAACTCCATTTTATCAAAATAATGACCATCAAACAAAGGCTTAATAAGGTATCGGAACCCATCAAACTCAAACGAGCAACTTGATATGATTAAGATTTACGATGACCATACGAATTTCAACATTAGTTTGCTCAAATGAGCCATCATCTGACTAAAAATTTGGATTACCCCTCTTAATAAGATTAACCTTTTAAATTGAAATTCAAATTTTAATAAAACCAAACTGTACGAACGAAGAGGAACCTATTTTTTATAAGCGTGATTGGAGATAAAAGAGAGTAAAGAGCAGAATTGAAAAGTCAGCGAGTTGACTTCATTTTAGGAATTTTGCAAGAGTGGTTTTTAAACATTTTAACATCAGAATTATGCCACTTGTATAGGGCAAGTGTCCCCCTGCCATTGGGGGTACGGGGGCCAAAAACCCCCCACCCAATGGCAGGAGCAGGCTACTTGTACATGGCTTAGCGCGATTGCATAATTAGCAATGCCAAAGATTGATCTTTTAGATATTGTGGAAAAGAATAACCATCAGGGGTCGTAATCAAAGTTTGCAGTCGGCTAACTACTTACAGTAGAGGAACTCAACTAGACAACTACTGAACTAAAAATAAAAAAAATCAGCTCCAACTTGCTGTACTTCAGAGTGCCACTGTGCCAGAGCACCTATTTAACATTTAAATGTTTTGCAATCAATTCACAATAACTGTCTTCTTCAAAGTCATTTAATATCCAAGAATACATGACCATAGGAACATAGAACAATCGAATAAAAGAATGGTGCGTGATGCATTTTAAAGGCTTGTGTTGGATAAGTTACCACATCATTCAGCTGCGAGGGGCTTTTTCAGCGTAATGTGACCAAACTCGTCCTTATCAAAAAGACGCTCAATCAGTTCATCCCAGTTATCCCGAGTCTTGCTTTTCATCGATGACCCTGTAGAAGAACCTGTTGCATTTTCAGGATCTTCATTTTCAGCAAAGGTTCCATATTGAGAAGGCGAAAAGGCGTGAGGAACTGCCAGTGTAACTGCCCTTTGCAAAGCTGCATTGTACTCCTCGCCATGCTCCCTGGCTAAAGTTTCCTGCCGCTCCATCCTCTGTTTTGGTGGAATCTCCATGCTATGATCTTTCTCGAGCATCAACTGCATCATGGACAAGAGGGCATTTCAAATTTCTGGTGCAAAGTGTTTCTGAATGACATGCGCCTTCATGTGTTGAGGTTCGTGTATGGAGGAAAATACATACAGACATAAACGCGCACACACACACACACACACACACATGAATCCTTCTGCAATATTCTTCTATGTTAGAGCGCCACTAGTAGGAGATGCCACAAAAACATGTGTGTGTGTGTGTGTGCATGTCTATATATGACTTCTGTAGTCTATTACCTATGCAGTTCCGTTATGGGAAATGGCAATATGTTACACGAAAACTAGTGAGGCTAGAGTACAGTAGGCATCGTTTGCCCGCAGGTTCAATGACTTGAGTTACCCAGGCATGCATTTAATGGGAATCACTAACTCAAAGAAAATTTGACTTCTTTGAACTGGTTTTGTGTAAAATTATGAAAAAGAATTTCGCGATAGGTCCGAAAAAGTATGGCATAGTTCAATACAAACTTGGAAGAAAAAATATATTATTTGGAGGTCAAGAGAGTTTTGGGAAGAATGGCTTCATTGAAGTAATATGTGCCTTTTTTAAGTGCACAAGGCTAAAATCTCTATTTTGCAAACGAGAAATCTATGTTCCGACACATCAGATCTATATATACAAGCATTTCCACAAAGATGCTGGAAAACAAAAATTGAAGTATAAAAGTCAAGCTTTACTAACAAATTAACTAAAATATTAACAGTAATATTACTTGTTATCACTCGAAAATTTCTCTTTAACCTTTGAGTTACTAAAATGGAAAAAAAACTTACTTCGAGAGCCCTTCGTGCTTCTCTCTCTATACAAATGATGGCATGGTCAGAAGTGGCATTGCAAGACAATACTATATGTTCAAATCTGCCATCGACAGGCACTGCCGTCCTCACAACTGGTGGAAATCTTCCACATCTGGTGGATATATTATCCAGAGTGATTAAGGCTTGATATAATACCTAATACCTTGGATGGAAAATGTCTGCAAATTTCTGGACTTGAACATTGAGTTTAAAGGAATTGTAGAATTTGATTAGTGTTCTATAATGTAAGGTATATAGATGGATGAATATATTTCACGTCAGAATCTGAAGAACTCGTACAATTACACTTGGTATGAAGGAACTAAAGACAAGAAGACAACATCAACACGCTACAAGTCACCATGTCATGTTGTTGCTTCCAGATTTATCTGTGTTACCAACAATTTACTTTCAACTAACCCAATTATATTATATAAACATTCACATATAATTCTCAAACTGCATTTTAGTTAGTTAGTATACCTGAAAGGTTTACGCTCAACAATGTGATAGAGGCGACCTGGAGCATACAGCCTCCTTGGATCTTTTAGCATTTTCTCCTCTCGTATGCATGTATCTCTCATGCATCTTAAACATAATAAGCAAGGCAAACTGTACAAAAAGTAAATGCATAAAGAACGAAGCTCAATAGTAACAGTAAAACAAGCTAAAGATTGGAGTAGGACCAGCCAACCCTTTACCAGAAAAGCGACTTGAAGATGTCTTCCAAAGGGGTCGCTGTACGAGGCAAGAAATCGTCCTGTCAGTAAAAATGCAGTCCGTTAAAATGGCGATTATATACCCATATGTCAAATATATCCTAGCATATGGAACAACAAGTTCTGGGGGATACACAGTCACTATATAATGACAAAAGAGCGACTGAAGTAAATTTTTTCCTAATATTTTTTACAAATATGATATCCACTTAAATGGTTAAATAAAGATTATTTGTTCACACGTTCGGGAGTCTTGTAATTAAAACACTGATGCCATATAGTATAGAGGGCACTACTTTGTGCTCGTGCAGCCAAGGACGTCCCAAAAGAACATTGGTTGGACTGAGATCATTGATAGTATATCCCAGTGACCATGTAAAACCACATGAAAAATGATTATATAATTATCTTTAGGGGGAAAAAATCCACTTGTGCCTGCAGATTCACTCATAAATGTCAAGTAAATGGCACATGCTACAGAGTAGAGCAAAATCAACTTGCTAGATAATGTATAAGGGTGATTAAAATTGAATTTTCTATATCACTTTGCACATTCACAAGCGTCTTGATTGAACTAGCTAGAAACAATTTTGCTCTAGTAATGTCATTCCGGAAAAAAATCTCATTGGCATCTTCTACATAAAAAATATGAAAAGAGAACTTATCAAAAACGTTAAGTCATCTAATTTCCCTAACTAAAACAGATTGCAAAATTAGATAGATGACCTGTGCATTGAAGCAGAAAAATCAAGAGGATATCTCAAAACGAAAAGCCCTTGAGAACATCCAATAATGACCACAATGATGTTTTTACATAGAAGAATATAAGTTTACACTATTGAACCCAATCCTTCCAGATGACACACACAACAAAAAAAGAAAAAAAAAAAAAAGGGATTTAAGAAATGTGTAGGACTTGCCTGAAGAACAATAGAGCTGATGACATCAGCATATCTTACAGCCAAATTGAGTGACATGCATCTGGCAGGTGCAATAGCATACCACATGATCCTCTACCTAACGATGTTAGCAAGTTTATCACGATTCTGAAGAACCACCATTGTCAATAATGCAGCCGAGCCCGACCCTAGGGAATGTCCTGTAAAAGTCACTGTATAATTTGGATATTTCTCCACCAATTCCTTCAAATCATCACATTCTGCATTCAAAACACAGCCTGCTGCATTTAACAGCCCATTGTGAACATAACCCCCATCGAATTTCCTTTTCCCCAGCTTATTATCAAGTAAAACTGCGTAATCACTCTCCTTTGCCAGATTAAGGCCTCTAATAGCAAGAACAATGTCGGCATTGTCATGATCAACGTACAATAAATAAGGGGGGGCTCTTCCGTTTGTATCCTTGTAACTTCTTTTTATAATTATCCAATCGGCATTAATTCCATAACCATCAGGAGGCTCCCAAAGAGGGTGTCTGAGATCATCCTCGTAGACAGCCAGTATGTAACGGCATAGCCTGGGAACAGGTTCAAATTCTTCAGGTGTAGCGAAGCCCCATGTCTCACTATCGTGGCCTGCACTGTGGAGACACCTTTTCCATGCCCACCGAGCACAAGCCAGACAGTATACACACTCGAGGATGGGAACGCCACAGATAATTGACATCAGCTTCTAATGTCTAGTGGTGCCTTTTAACGTCGATGAAAGGCTTTAACGGATTTAATTTTTATCAAATCACACGAAGATGGAGTATCTATTAATGCAGGAAAGAAGAAAAATGAATTAAAAGCGGTGGCATATAACCTGACCTTCTGAAATATAAAAAGTAAAATAGGAAATTAGACAAGTTTAGAAGACTCAGAGCTAAGGATTAGAGATTCTTCTCTATATTTCATGTGCCTTCGTCACACTTGAGTCGTAATCTCAAAGAAGAAATCAAACAGGAGAAGAAAGGCTGAAATTTTATGATGCGATTGGAGTATAATGCCACTAAGGGAATTCGGGATTATAAATCACTTACATAACCAATCACTTACAATACAAAAATGGGTTTTCTGGTATGTGGCAAAATTTAACCGAATTAAATACCCATATTTGTACCAATATCATCTAATATCTTCAAATTTGAAAAGAAAACCGTAGTAAAAGAGCGTTCGAAAACGACTTTATTCCAACCCAAGAAAACGACTAATTTTGGGTGGAGCCGATAAATAATAACATACAAATTACCAATGGGCAATTGAATTGAACAAAAGATGGTTCTATTTGTAGAGCAAGAAAAGGAACTCAATTACCGCATTGGTAATTTGATTTATGGGTTGAAATTTATGGGTTGAAATTTTGATTTCAGCAGCTTTTTTTGCTTGTTTTAACAAGGCTGATTGAAACGAGTTCTGCCCCTATACTAGCAATGGCCAATGGGTGTGCGAATTAATCTTTACCGTTTTCTGTAAGAAACTCAGATCGCTCAAGTCAACTGAAACTCAGCCACTCAGCCAACAGCAGGATTGTACTACAGAAAAATAAAACCATGTTCATTACAACTGGCTACCAGACAATGGCAGGGGTCCAGGGGATTGTGTTTTTTATATTATTTCCGAAAAAATAATAAACAAATAAAAGGAGAGATAGCAAAATGTTTCGTGACACTTTCGTCCCGAGCCATTCAATTACGTCATAGAACTAGGACGGAAACGAGTAACATGATCGTGTTGTTCGACCATGTCCTAAAATTGGAACAAAAATGGAGAAACACGATTCACCTTGAACCCATCAAAACTCTTATAGTGTGTTTGATTGATATAAAAGATATATTTTTAAAAAGAAAATATTTTCTTTATTTTGAGAAAAATAAAAATCTAATACCCAAACAAAATATTTTCTTTAAAAACATGGAAAAAAATAGTAATCAAATACTTTAAAGTAAGAATTTGGGTGAAAAACTGATATTTTTCAAAGAAAATAAATGCAATCAAACGCACCCTTATTTCTTGTTTTTTAATTATTTCTTTTTCATTTATATCTGGATCATCTTTATAGAGTGTCTTCAAATGATATTTTAATAAATTTTAAAAATATTTCTAAATTAAGGTATTCTTAATTGAGATTTCATTAAATTATGCTAAAATCTAGATGTCATCAACAAATATTTTAATGAATTCTTTAAAAGTAAGATATCTTTAATAACTCGTGAATTTATAAGAATTTCATTTCCATTTTTCGAAAATCTTAAGGAGTGAGAGTGATGGGGGAGGGTAATGTAAATATTGTAGACTTAGATGTTCTATTATCTAAAGGTCTGGGAATTACTTCAAGGCTTATTGGATCAAAATCTCCCTATGATTTGGACCTATGTGAAATACTTCATCTTTTCAAATTGGCTGAAAGTGGTGTGGAAGACCGTCTTTTTGTCTATTTTCTCAATAAAATTTTGTGAAAGAATTTGGGGTAGGTGAGATAGAAATGAGTTTTTTTTTCTAATTTCTAAAATTATTTATTTGGGAGTCGTTTGCATTTTTTTTAATTTTGAAAAAATCAGGACTATAATATGAAATTCGTTTTTTATTTTATTTAAATATGAAGACATATTTATTATTTTACAAGGTTTTATTGAGTAAATATGAAAAAGGTGTGCACCTCAAAAGTTATAAAGGGAGGTTTCGGTCAATTGATATGGGATATCGGCAATGTGTATTGCTTCTTGGTCAGCTCGCCCTCCAATTGCAGGGCGCCACATCGGCGCCCTGTTTTTGGGCCTGGCCCAATAGCACGGCTGTATCCGCAATAGGTTCAATGGATAGGGGCTTTTGCGCTAATAAGCCTTTTTCCAAAAATTTCTCTGTGCGAGGAGTGTCATGACAATTTTACCCTTACATCAAAATCCCGGCTTGGATATAAATCGCCATGAAACCCTAGTTCTTCTCCCCTGTATCCCGCCTCAGATTTTTGCAGTAACAGTCAGATCGAAGAAAAGGTTAGACCAGTCCTCCATTTACACGGTTCATATGTAGATCAATATATATATATATATATATACATGTGCTTGTATACAGATTCGACAATATTTCTCCTTTAAAGATTCTTTAATGCGTGGGCGTGCACAATGTACTTAATCTGCGTATTGTTGAAAATAATCAAAAAGAGTTTGATAATCAATTGTGTGTTTTCTATTCGGAATATTCGCTACTTGAGGGAACGTGTCTGTACTTATTCGCAGTATAAATATACAGTGCTAGTTATGTTTATTTGCTTGGAATAGAACACGGTATAAAATTTTCGGTGCAATTTTTTATGAAAAGCTAGGTTGTATGGAAAAAAGAAATGGAGAAAAATTTTCTGAAAAATGAGTAGGATATGAAGCGTTTTAGAAAAATTTATATTTCATGGTTAAAATAATATAATAATTCAACATTTATTCGATATTACTTTCTAAATAATGTCAACATTTAATTTTTTTTTTTTTTGATAGATAAAATCAACATTTAATTTTAGAAATGCAATTTGACATTAATTAAATATTGGAAAGAATAGAATCGCTCAAATAAAAAAAATTAACTTGATGTTTTATGCCATCTAAGAGAAGATTATTCATGTCATTGGAAAAAATCCCAATTACATGTTAATTTTTTTTGATGGAAAGGTTAAACCCACAATGGAGCCCATGATTATGCTTATTTGTTTATTCACATTTTCTTAAGTTTTTGTAAATTTTCATATAAGCTTTGAAGTATTTCTTAAGAGTTTCTAAAGAGTTTTTATTTTGAAAGGTCTCCAAAATGCTAGCCTTTTTGAAGTTTCTTTCCATGCATGATAGATATGAAGTATGAAAAAGACTGATGCATATGTGATTTTTGTCATTGTTCATTAGCAGGTAATGGCTCCAAAGCAGCCAAACACTGGCTTATTTGTGGGTTTGAACAAGGGCCACATTGTGACCAGCAAGGAATTAGCTCCACGTCCATCCGCTAGGAAAGGCGTAAGTGTTATCTACGCTTTTTTGCTAGTTTGATTTGAGAGTTCCTTGACTTTTTGCCTGTTAGTGTTTTCTTTAATTTTTTGCAGGTTTAATTTGATAGTTCTGACTTTTTGCCTCTTAAATTTTATTTTATTTTATTTTTTGTACTATTTTTTTAACACATCGAGAATTACTCGAATAGCCTTTGTTTTCCTAGTAAGCCTTTGTTTGAAACTGACTTTTTCGAAATCACTTTTTCCCCACTTATTTTCAGCCACACATTAAAAAATAAATAAATAAATTCCCATAACTTTTCCTTACTTTTTAACCTTGCATTCTAACAAAAATCACTTTCCACGAAATCACTTCACAGTTCACACAAGGGCGTATCTGTTTATGAACTCCCAAACATGCTTTAAAGCTAGAAATATAGTCAGTTGAACTTAGCATTTTATTTATGCCTATTTCCCCTAAAAGGGTTTCATTGCTAGATGCGACAGTATTGGGCAAATGTGTAATATAGTTTGTTAATCGAGGAAAAGCTAAGTTGAACTTAGCTTTTATTTATTTCTTTTTAACCATGCATTCTAAAAAAATCACTTTCCACGAAATCACTTCTCAAAAAATGAACTTCACAGTTCACACAAGGGCTTAATATAATCTGTTTATAAACTCCCAAACATGCTTTAAAGCTAGAAATATAGTCAGATGAACTTAGCTTTTTATTTATATCTATTTCCCCTAAAAGGGTTTCGTTGCTAGATTCGACAGTATTGGACAAATGTGTAATATAGTTTGTTAATCGAGGAAAAGGTCTTTTCAGTTGGAGTAAAAAAAAAAAAACATTCTATAGAAAAGGAATATAAGAAATGGTCAGGCTATTTTTCTCTTCTTAATATTACAAGGTTTGATTTGACCTTTTTGAATTCTGTTTGTAACTCATTATCGTATTTCCTAATAAGTGAAAAGGCAACTCTCATTTATCTGGATGCAAAATTTGGTAATTGTAATTATGTATTCCTTTTTTGGATTTCTCACTCCATTGATTCCCGCAGAAAACAAGCAAGAGAGTGCACTTTGCAAGGAGTCTTATAAGGGAAGTTGCTGGATTTGCACCATATGAGAAGAGAATTACTGAGCTTCTTAAAGTTGGAAAGGACAAGCGAGCTTTGAAGGTAGCAAAGAGAAAGTTGGGCACTCATAAGAGGGCAAAGAAGAAGAGAGAGGAGATGTCAAGCGTACTCCGTAAGATGAGGTAATTTCCCTGGATGACATTATGTACCTTTTTCCATCATTGGAAGATAATCGTGCTGCTGCTATATTTGCATTCTCCATCCAATTGAAATTTTAATAACTTGCAATTTTTTACTCGAATAGAATTGGGTTTCTCATTTTTCTCTATATAATTGTAATCTGGCCTCAAGTGCAGCTAGTCGGAGATTAATTTTTAGAATTCTGCTACATTTACATAATTTTTGTACATGTAGGTTTACACATGCCCATGATTTGAATTTTAGAAATTCAAATCAATGGACAGATGCATGCATCTGTCAACCTATCTGTACAAGGAGAACAATTGTAATTTTTAGTAGCCAGTTGCTTATGTTATTTTGGCAATTTGATGCAGGGCTGCTGGAGGTGGTCATGAGAAGAAGAAGTGAAAGTGTGTCAGGATTTTAGTTTTGGGACCAAAGTTTTACATTATGTGGTT